TTAAGAACATTAAGGAAAACATTGAGAAACATAAGAAACATTGAGAAAACATTAAGAAAACATTGAAAACATTTAGAAAAAATTAAGAAACATTAAGAAACATTGAGAAACATTAAGAAACATTGAGAAACATTAAGAAACGTTGAGAAACATTAAGAAACATTAAGAAACTTTAAGAAACATTAAGAAACATTGAGAAACATTAAGAAACATTAAGAAACATTTAGAAACATTAAGAAACATTAAGAAACATTAAGAAACATTAAGAAACATTAAGAAACATTTAGAAACATTAAGAAACATTAAGAAACATTAAGAAACATTAAGAAACATTAAGAAACATTAAGAAACATTAAGAAACATTTAGAAACATTAAGAAACATTAAGAAACATTAAGAAACATTAAAAACATTTAGAAACATTAAGAAACATTAAGAAACATTAAGAAACATTAAGAAACATTAAGAAACACTAAGAAACATTGAGAAACATTAAGAAACATTAAGAAACATTAAGAAACATTATTAGAAACATTAAAAAAACATTAAGAAACATTAAAAAAATAAGAAACATTAAGAAACATTAAGGAAACATTAAGAAAACATTTAAAAAACATTAAGAAACATTAAGAACATTAAGAAACATTAAGAAACATTAAAAAACATTGAGAAACATTAAGAAACATTAAGAAACATTAAGAAAAAATTAAAGAAACATTAAGAAACATTAAAAACCCTTTAAGAAACATTAAGAAACATTAAGAACATTAAGAAACATTATGAAACATTAAGAAACATTTAGAAACATTAAGAAACATTAAGAAACATTAAGAAACATTAAGAAACATTAAGAAACATTAAGAAACATTAAGAAACATTGAGAAACATTAAGAAACATTAAGAAACATTAGGAAGCATTGAGAAACATTAAGAAACATTAAGAAACTTTAAGAAACATTAAGAAACATTGGGGAAACATTAAGAAAACATTAAGAACATTGAGAAACATTTAGAAACATTAAGAAACTTTAAAAGAAACATTACGAAACATTAAGAAACATTAAGAAACTTTGAGAAACATTAAGAAACATTAAGAAACATTAAGAAACATTAGAAACTTAAGAAACTTTAAAGGGAAACATTAAGAAACATTAAGAAAAATTAGGAAAACATTGAGAAACATTAAGAAACATTAAGAAACTTTAAGAAACTTAAGAAACATTGAGAAACATTAGAAACATTAAGAAACATTGAGAACATTTAGAAACTTTAAGAAACTTAAGAAACTTTAAGAAACATTAAGAAACATTAAGAAACTTTAAGAAACTTTAAAGAAGCATTGAGAAACTTGGAAACATTTAAGAAACATTAAGAAACATTAAGAAACATTAAGAAACATTAAGAAAAAAAAATTAAGAAACATTAAGAAACATTAAGAAACATTAAGAAACAACATTAAGAAACATTAAGAAACATTAAGAAACATTAAGAAACATTGAGAAACATTAAGAAATATTAAGAAACATTAAGAAACATTAAGAAACATTAAGAAACATTAAGAAACATTAAGAAACATTAAGAAACATTAAGAAACATTAAGAAACATTGAGAAACATTAAGAAAACATTAGAAACATTAAAAAACTTTAAAGAAACATTAAGAAACATTAAGAAACATGAGAAACATTGAGAAACATTAAGAAATTTTATTAAGAAACTTTAAGAAACATTAAGAAACATTAAAAAAACATTAAGAAACTTTTAAGAAACATTAAGAAACATTAAAAAACTTTAAGAAACATTAAGAAAAACATTAAGAAAATTAAGAAAATTGAGAAACATTAAGAAACATTAAGAAACATTAAGAAACATTAAGAAACATTAAGAAACATTAAGAAACATTGAGAAACATTAAGAAACATTAAGAAACATTAAGAAACATTAAGAAACATTAAGAAACATTAAGAAACATTAAGAAACATTAAGAAACAACAATGTGTAAATAACAACAGTGTTATGTACACATTGTTAAGTAAGGTTAATATATGAATTAATAATATAATCCAAGGAATTAAGACCGACCTCCTCTTCCTCGGATGAAACCTGGTTACTGCCTCCCCTCCCCCCCTCCCCTACCCTCCCCTCCCCCACCTCCCCTCCCCTCCCCCCTCCCCTCCCTCCCCTTCCCTCCCCCCCTCCCTCCCCTCCCATTACACTGGCGCTGGACGGCTTTTGTTTTCTGTATCGTGACGATGCTTGTGAGGAGTTAGACGCAGGAGTTAGACGAAGGAGTTAGACGCAGGAGTTAGACGCAGGAGTTAGACGCAGGAGTTAGACGAAGGAGTTAGACGCAGGAGTTAGACGAAGGAGTTAGACGCAGGAGTTAGACGCAGGAGTTAGACGCAGGAGTTAGACGCAGAAGTTAGACGCAGGAGTTAGTCGCAGGAGTTAGACGCAGGAGTTAGACGCAGGAGTTAGACGCAGAAGTTAGACGAAGGAGTTAGACACAGAAGTTAGACGAAGGAGTTAGACGCAGGAGTTAGACGAAGGAGTTAGACGCAGGAGTTAGACGCAGGAGTTAGACGCAGGAGTTAGACGCAGGAGTTAGACGCAGAAGTTAGACGCAGGAGTTAGTCGCAGGAGTTAGACGAAGGAGTTAGACGCAGGAGTTAGACGCAGGAGTTAGACGCAGGAGTTAGACGCAGGAGTTAGACGCAGAAGTTAGACGCAGGAGTTAGTCGCAGGAGTTAGACGCAGGAGTTAGACGCAGGTGTTAGACGCAGAAGTTAGACGAAGGAGTTAGACACAGAAGTTAGACGCAGGAGTTAGACGCAGGAGTTAGACGCAGAAGTTAGACGCAGAAGTTAGACGCTGGAGTTAGACGCAGAAGTTAGACGCAGGAGTTAGACACAGAAGTTAGACGCAGGAGTTAGACGCAGAAGTTAGACGCAGAAGTTAGACGCAGGAGTTAGACGCAGAAGTTAGACGCAGAAGTTAGACGCAGGAGTTAGACGCAGGAGTTAGACGCAAAAGTTAGACGCAGGAGTTAGACGCAGAAGTTAGACGTAGAAGTTAGACGCAGGAGTTAGCCGCAGAAGTTAGATGCAGGAGTTAGACGCAAGAGTTAGACGCAGAAGTTAGACGCAGAAGTTAAACGCAGGAGTTAGACGCAGGAGTTAGACGCAGGAGTTAGACGCAGGAGTTAGACGCAGGAGTTAGACGCAGAAGTTAGACGCAGGAGTTAGACGCAGAAGTTAGACGCAGGAGTTAGACGCAGGAGTTAGACGCAGAAGTTAGACGCAGGAGTTAGACGCAGAATTTAGACACAGAAGTTAGACGCAGGAGTTAGACGCAGGAGTTAGACGCAGGAGTTAGACGCAGGAGTTAGACGCAGAAGTTAGACGCAGGAGTTAGTCGCAGAAGTTAGACGCAGGAGTTAGACGCAGGAATTAGACGCAGAAGTTAGACGCAGGAGTTAGACGCAGAAGCTAGACGCAGGAGTTAGACGCATAAGTTAGACGCAGGAGTTAGACGCAGAAGTTAGACGCAGAAGTTAGACGCAGGAGTTAGATGCAGAAGTTAGACGCAGGAGTTAGACGCAGGAGTTAGACGCAGGAGTTAGACGCAGAAGTTAGACGCAGGAGTTAGACGCAGAAGTTAGACGCAGGAGTTAGACGCAGGAGTTAGACGCAGAAGTTAGACGCAGGAGTTAGACGCAGGAGTTAGACGCAGGAGTTAGACGCAGGAGTTAGACGCAGAAGTTAGACGCAGGAGTTAGTCGCAGGAGTTAGACGCAGAAGTTAGACGCAGGAGTTAGACGCAGAAGTTAGACGCAGGAGTTAGACGCAGGAGTTAGACGCAGAAGTTAGACGCAGGAGTTAGACGCAGAAGTTAGATGCAGGAGTTAGACGCAAGAGTTAGACGCAGAAGTTAGACGCAGAAGTTAGACGCAGGAGTTAGACGCAGAAGTTAGACGCAGGAGTTAGACGCAGAAGTTAGATGCAGGAGTTAGACGCAAGAGTTAGACGCAGAAGTTAGACGCAGAAGTTAGACGCAGGAGTTAGACGCATAAGTTAGACGCAGGAGTTAGACGCAGGAGTTAGACGCAGGAGTTAGACGCAGGAGTTAGACGCAGAAGTTAGACGCAGGAGTTAGACGCAGAAGTTAGACGTAGAAGTTAGACGCAGGAGTTAGACGCCGGAGTTAGACGCAGGAGTTAGACGCAGGAGCAGCAGCTGAACAGCTTTATTTAAAGATATTTCACCAGTCAGTGACTTTATCAATTAAATGCAAAGATGATATAAAGACCCATACCACGGGTGGGGTTTGAACTCGCGGTGAGTGAGTCGTAAAACTCCAGGCCGACGCGTTAGCCACTGGGCCAGCTGGCTACAATAGGTCACTGGACCAGCTGTCTACAATAAGCCTCTAGCCCAGCTGGCTACAATAAGATTTATCCAACTAGGTATATTTATACACCATAGGAAGGTTAGCATAGGCACCACTGTGGCCACAGATTCATCTATAAAAACTGGCATTGCATAGTTGGATGAATCTTATTGTAGCCAGCTGGCCCAGTGGCTTATTGTAGCCAGCTGGCCCAGTGGCTTATTGTAGCCAGCTGGCCCAGTGGCTTATTGTAGCCAGCTGGCCCAGTGGCTTATTGTAGCCAGCTGGCCCAGTGGCTACGCGTCGGTTCGGAGTTTTACGGCTCACTCACCGCGAGTTCAAACCCGGCACGTGATAAGGTTTGTTTGCAATCTTGTCATTGTGATTTCGTGAGTCATGATATAGGAAGACAGTGGAAGACTAGGTAATCAGTCCTTCAAGCACGCAGAACCCCACTCAGAAGACAGTTTAAGATTAGGCAGTTAGTCCCTCAACCTAGAAGCCGGTGTTCATTTTCAGTATTGATGAATGTAGTGTTGCATAATTTTAAATTCCTCAACGTGTCAGTATCGTAAAGCAATATTGTAATGTTGACGGTTGGTGTGTGTGGCAGCCGAGAACCTCAAGCTAGCACTGGTGACCAACTTCAAGGAGATCGAACAAAGGATGGAGGAAGGTACGGTAAACAGAACCATCGCCTCCACCAATATGAACGCCACTTCGTCCCGAGCACACACCATCGTCGGTATCACCTTCATCCAGAAGTTCAAGAACGACGCTGGTCAGGAGACAGCCAAGCAGTCAGTGATCAACCTGGTCGATCTGGCTGGCAGGTGAGTAAGTGGGGAGTGGGAAGGACTGATGAAGGAGAGGAGGAGAAGGAAAGGAGAAGAAAAGAGAGGGGAAGTATTTGCTTGAGGTCTCTTATAGTCGCCTTCCATTTCAGATGATCTGATCCTTGTTTGTCTTATTCTCTGGGTTGTGTTATTTAAGTTGTCTACCTGACGTATATTATTGTGTAGTGATATTATATCTGTATTGTGTAGTAGGCTGACGTCAGTGTGCTAGTGGTAGTAAGAGTGACTGACGTCAGTGTGCTGGTGGTAGTAAGAGTGGCTGACATCAGTGTGCTGGTGGCAGTAAGGGTGATTGACGTCAGTATGCTGGTGGTAGTAAGAGTGATTGACGTCAGTGTGCTGGTGGTAGTAAGAGTAACTGACGTCAGTATGCTGGTGGTAGTACGAGTGACTGACGTCAGTGTGCTAGGGTAGTAAGAGTGACTGTCGTCAGTGTGCTGGTGGTCGTAAGAGTGACTGACGTGAGTATGCTGGTGGTAGTAAGGGTAACTGACGTCAGCGTGCTGGTGGTAGTAAGGGTGACTGACATCAGTGTGCTGGTGGCAGTAAGGATGATTGACGTCATTGTGCTGGTGGTGGTAAGAGTGACTGACGTGAGTATGCTGGTGGTAGTAAGGGTAACTGACGTCATTGTGCTGGTGGTAGTAAGGGTGACTGACGTGAGTATGCTGGTGGTAGTAAGAGTAACTGACGTCAGTGTGCTGGTGGCAGTAAGGGTGACTGATGTGAGTATGCTGGTGGAAGTAAGGGTGACAGACATTGGTGCTGGTGGTAGTAAGGGTGACTGACATCAGTGCTGGTGGTAGTAAGGGTGACTGACATTATTGGCAGCTCACAAGATTTCAATAAATTTTACTCATGTCAAAATGGTAAGAAAGGAGAACTAAAACTGACTAGGCTGTCATGATCAAGACTAGTGTCTCTCTGGTGCTTATTGAAAGTTACGTGGAATGTCATCTTCAAAGCTACAGGATAGTGCAAGTCTGTGGTTAATTGAGACCATATCCTGGAGAGTCTGTGATCTGCTGGGACCAGGTCTTAGAGTCTGTAACCTGCTGGGACCAGGTCTTAGAGTCTGTAACCTGCTGGGACCAGGTCTTAGAGTCTGTAACCTGCTGGGACCAGGTCTTAGAGTCTGTAACCTGCTGGGACCAGGTCTTAGAGTACCTGTAACCTGCTGGGACCAGGGCTTAGAGTCGGTAACCTGCTGGGACCAGGTCTTAGAGTCTGTAACCTGCTGGGACCAGGCCTTAGAGTCTGTAACGTGCTGGGACCAGGTCTTAGAGTCTGTAACCTGCTGGGACCAGGTCTTAGAGTCTGTAACCTGCTGGGACCAGGTCTTAGAGTCTGTAACCTGCTGGAACCAGGTCTTAGAGTCTGTAACGTGCTGGGACCAGGCCTTAGAGTCTGTAACGTGCTGGGGCCAGGTCTTAGAGTCTGTAACCTGCTGGGACCAGGTCTTAGAGTCTGTAACCTGCTGGGACCAGATCTTAGAGTCTGTAACCTGCTGTTACCAGGTCTTAGAGTCTGTAACCTGCTGGGACCAGGTCTTAGAGTCTGTAACCTGCTGGGACCAGGTCTTAGAGTCTGTAACCTGCTGGGACCAGGTCTTAGAGTCTGTAACCTGCTGGGACCAGGTCTTAGAGTCTGTAACCTGCTGGGACCAGGTCTTAGAGTACCTGTAACCTGCTGGGACCAGGGCTTAGAGTCTGTAACCTGCTGGGACCAGGTCTTAGAGTCTGTAACCTGCTGGGACCAGGCCTTAGAGTCTGTAACGTGCTGGGCCAGGTTCTTAGAGTCTGTAACCTGCTGGGACCAGGTCTTAGAGTCTGTAACCTGCTGGGACCAGGTCTTAGAGTCTGTAACCTGCTGGAACCAGGTCTTAGAGTCTGTAACGTGCTGGGACCAGCCCTTAGAGTCTGTAACGTACTGGGACCAGGTCTTAGAGTCTGTAACCTGCTGGGACCAGGTCTTAGAGTCTGTAACTGCTGGACAGATCTAAGTCTGTAACCTGCTGGGACCAGGTCTTAGAGTCTGTAACCTGCTGGGACCATGTCTTAGAGTCTGTAACCTGCTGGGACCAGGTCTTAGAGTCTGTAACCTGTTGGGACCAGGTCTTAGAGTCTGTAACCTGCTGGGACCAGATCTTAGAGTCTGTAACCTGCTGGAACCAGGTCTTAGAGTCTGTAACCTGCTGGGACCAGGCCTTAGAGTCTGTAACCTGCTGGGACCAGGTCTTAGAGTCTGTAACCTGCTGGGACTAGGTCTTAGAGTCTGTAACCTGCTGGGACCAGGCCTTAGAGTCTGTAACGTGCTGGGACCAGGTCTTAGAGTCTGTAACCTGCTGGGACCAGGTCTTAGAGTCTGTAACCTGTTGGGACCAGGTCTTGGAGTCTGTAACCTGCTGGGACCAGGTCTTAGAGTCTCTAACCTGCTGGGACCAGGCCTTAGAGTCTGTAACGTGCTGGGACCAGGTCTTAGAGTCTGTAACCTGCTGGGACCAGGTCTTAGAGTCTGTAACCTGTTGGGACCAGGTCTTGGAGTCTGTAACGTGCTGAGACCAGGCTTAGAGTCTGTAACGTGCTGGGACCAGGTCTTAGAGTCTGTAACCTGCTGGGACCAGGTCTTAGAGTCTGTAACCTGTTGGGACCAGGTCTTGGAGTCTGTAACCTGCTGGGACCAGGTCTTAGAGTCTGTAACCTGTTGGGACCAGGTCTTGGAGTCTGTAACCTGCTGGGACCAGGTCTTAGAGTCTGTAACCTGCTGGGACCAGGTCTTGGAGTCTGTAACCTGCTGGGACCAGGTCTTGGAGTCTGTAACCTGTTGGGACCAGGTCTTGGAGTCGTAACCTGTTGGGACCAGGTCTTGGAGTCTGTAACGTGCTGGACCAGGTCTTGGAGTCTGTAACCTGCTGGGACAGGTCTTAGAGTCTGTAACCTGCTGGACCAGGTCTTGGAGTCTGTAACCTGCTTGGACCAGGTCTTGGAGTCTGTAACCTGTTGGGACCAGGTCTTGGAGTCTGTAACCTGTTGGGACCAGGTCTTGGAGTCTGTAACGTGCTGGGACCAGGTCTTGGAGTCTGTAACGTGCTGGGACCAGGTCTTAGAGTCTGTAACCTGCTGGGACCAGGTCTAAGAGTCTGTAACCTGTTGGGACCAGGTCTTGGAGTCTGTAACCTGCTGGGACCAGGTTTTGGAGTCTGTAACCTGCTGGGACCAGGTCCTGGTATAACTGTTTCATAAAAATATCTTGAACTATCTTGTTGTGGTGTGCGATGGTATGACACGTGTGGTGACTGTCACGTAGTGGTGATGGTGTGGTGATCTAAGACAGTGTGGTGGTGATGGTGTGGTGATCTAAGACAGTGTGGTGGTGATGGTGTGGTGATTTAAGACAGTGTGGTGATCTAAGACAGTGTGGTGGTGATGGTGTGGTGATCTAAGACAGTGTGGTGGTGATGGTGTTGTGATTTAAGACAGTGTGGTGATCTAAGACAGTGTGGTGGTGATGGTGTGGTGATCTAAGACAGTGTGGTGGTGATGGTGTGGTGAAGTAACAGAGTGTGGTGGTGCCAACAGTGAACGTGTGGAGAGCACAGGAGCCACGGGGTCCAGACTGAAGGAAGGTGCTGGTATCAACCTGTCACTCTCCAGCCTTGGTAACTGCATCCACGCTCTGGCCGAGAAGTCCAATGGTAGACAGGTGAGACGGTGCTTGATGGTGTGAGACAGGGTGTTGGTGTGAGACAGGGTGTTGATGGGGTGAGACAGGGTGTTGATGGTGTGAGACAGGGTGTTGATGGTGTGAGACAGGGTGTTAATGGGGTGAGACAGGGTGTTAATGGGGTGAGACAGGGTGTTGATTGGTGAGACAGGATGTTAATGGGGTGAGACAGGGTGTTATTGGGGTGAGACAGGGTGTTAATGGGATGAGATAGGGTGTTGATGGAGTGAGCAGAGTGTCAATGGGGTGAGACAGGGTGTTAATGGGGTGAGAGAGGGTGTTGATGGGGTGAGACAGGGTGTTAATGGGGTGAGACAGGGTGTTAATGGGGTGAGACAGGGTGTTAATGGGGTGAGACAGGGTGTTGATTGGGTGAGACAGGATGTTAATGGGGTGAGACAGGGTGTTATTGGGGTGAGACAGAGTGTTAATGGGGGTGAGACAGGGTGTTGATGGTGTGAGACAGGGTGTTGATGCGGTGAGACAGGGTGTTGGTGTGAGACAGGGTGTTTATGGTGTTAGGCAGGGTGTTAATGAGGTGAGACAGGGTGTTGACTGGGTGAGACAGGGTGTTGATGGTGTGAGACAGGGTGTTGACTGGGTGAGACAGGATGTTGGTGTGAGACAGGGTGTTGATGGTGTGCGACAGGGTGTTGATGGTGTGCGACAGGGTGTTGATGCGGTGAGACAGGGTGCTGGTGTGAGACAGGGTGTTGATGGTGTTAGACAGGGTGTTAATGGGGTTAGACAGGGTGTTGACTGGGTGAGACAGTGTTGATGGGGTGAGCGAGGGTGTTGATGGGGTGAGACATAATTTGATAGTATAAGACTATAGGGGTGCAAATACGAGTCGGTGGGTGAAGAGCTGAAGAGATGCGTGGTGATAACTAAGAGGGAGAGAGAGAGAGAGAGAGAGGAGAGAGAGAGGAGAGAGAGAGAGAGAGAGAGAGAGAGAGAGAGAGAGAGAGAGAGAGAGAGAGAGAGAGAGAGAGAGAGAGAGAGAGAGAGAGAGAGAGAGAGAGAGAGAGAGAGAGAGGGCCAGAGAGAGAGAGAGATAAACCTGTGTTTAACTGATGTTTGTATGTGTTAACACAGGCCAAGGTACCCTACCGAGATTCCATGTTGACGAGGCTGTTGATGAACGCTCTGGGAGGCAACAGCAAGACCATCATGATAGCAGCTATCTCTCCTGCAGACATCAACTACGATGAGACACTCTCCACACTGAGGTTCGGTGAGTATTCCAGACTAGTTTTACTCTCCCTTCATCCCCTTCCCCTCCTAGCTCAGTGGTAGAGTGTCATAACCGAAACTATCCCGGTTGAATCCTGGGTAGTATGAGAAGCATGTAAATGTTGTCTAACACGTACTGGTGTTACCCAGGAGCCAGATTATTGTTGTGTGGCATGCTGAGGATAGACCAAAACACCACCTCATTGGAAATAAGCCACACTGCTTGGGTTCCTGTTGTTGTCCTGGGTTACTAACCCTCAGGGATTACTTATGTAAATAAAGTCTCTTTGCTCTGTCCATCTGTCTAATATTCTCTCATACTTTTCCTGATCAAAGTCTTGTCACTCTTCCAAAGACTGGAGCCTGGTTTACATATTCCTTCAGTACAAATACGGTAAGTGAGTAAACAAGGCAAGAAATATTAATTCAGTCTTAAGAATAGGTAGCTACTATTGTTCTTGGTGTCTCCTTACCTCTTGAAAAACATTAAATTAGTTATCCTTAGCCCAGTGGTCATTCGTTCTTCTAGCTGTACAACCCGACAAGCCTAAAGTTTTAGATTTCTCTCCTAGAAACAGGAGAGTGAATGTCATACCACTAAGTCTCTTCATATTCTGCTATTATTACACAAATAACCCGCACATAAAAGAGAGAAGCTTACGACGACGTTTCGGTCCGACTTGGACCATTGTGCGGGTTATTTGTGTATCGTTCCAGTCACGGTATTGTGCTTTTTTGTTATTTATTATCTGCTATTATTCTACATATTTAACCACAACCTCGCTAATGCTCAAACACTTGACATATAAATACGAGCTGGCTGAGTCTTTCTGATCCCCAGTACACGCTAATGTTGTTACAAAACTGTAAGTTTATGTTCTCCTGTAATACCTAAACTCGTGATGTAATAGTTTAGAAAACTGATAAGTTGAGGAATGACACCCACACTTGTGCAACACTTGCGAATCTTTTTCCCTCAATAAAAATTCTCAAATGATGCAAACGTGCCTCATTATTCAACACCTAAGTGCATTAAAAGTTTTGTTTAAGACTCTCTCTCTCTCTCTCTCTCTCTCTCTCTTCCCCTCCTTTTCTTTTCCTTTCCCCCCCTCTTTTTTTTTCCCTTTCCCCCTTTTTTTTTTTAAAATTTTTTCCTTTTTTGGTTTCCTTTTCCCCTTTTATCCTTGGGTTTCTTTTTTTTCTGTTCTCCCCCCTTTTTTTTTTTTTTGTCCCCTTTTTTATTCCTTTTTTCCCCCCCCCCCCCCTTTGGGGCCCCCCCCTTTCTCCCCTTTTTTTCCCTTTTTTATTTTTCCTTTTTCTTTTTTTTTTTTTTTTTTCTTCCCTTTTTTCCCCCCCCCCTTTTTTTTTTTCCTTTGGGCCCCCCCCTTATCCCCCCCCCCCCTTTTTCCCCCCCCTTTTTCCCCCCCCTCTTCTTTTTTTTCCCTTTTTTTTCCCCCCCCCCCTTCTCCCCCTCCCCCCCCCCCCCCCAAAAAAACCCCCCCCCCCCCCCTTTTCCTCTCTTTTCTTTTCCCTTTTTTTCCCCCCCTTTTCCCCCTCTTTTTCCCTCTCCTTTCCCCCCCCCCTTTTCCCCTTCTTTTTTTTTTTTCTTCTCCCCTCTCCCCCCCCCTTCTCTCCCCACCCTCCCCCCCCCCCCCCCCCCTCCCCTCCTTCTCTTCCCCTTCCCCCCTTCCCTTTTCCCTTTTCCCCCTTTTCTTTCCCTCCTTCCCTCCCTTCCCTTCCCCCTTTCTCCCTTTTTCTTTTTTTCCCTCTTTCCCCCCTTTTTTTTTTTTCCCCTTCCTCCCCCCCCCCCCCCCCCCCTTCCCCCCCCCCCCCCCCCCCCCCCCCCCCCCCCCCTTTATCCTTTTCCCTTTCCTCCCCATTTCCTTTTCTCCCCCTTTTTCCTTTTTCTTTTTTCGGGTTCTCCCTTCTTTTTCCGTTTTCTTTTTCTTTTTTCCCCTTTTTTTCCTCTCTTTCTTTGGGGTTTCTTTTCCCTTCGGTTTTTTGGCCTTCTTTTTATCTTTCTCTTTTTGGGTTCCTTTCCCTTTTATTTTTCTCTTTCTCCTCTTTTTCTCTTTTCTTTTTCTCTTTCTACCTTCTTTTTCCTGCTTTTTTTTCCTGCATTTTCTGGTTTTCCCTCTTTTCTTTTTTCTTTTCTACCGTGGGCCGAAGTGGAAGGTGGAAACGAGCCCCGGGGGAGCTGGGACTGGGGGAAACGAGCCCCTTCGGGTTGGCAGGGGAAGTTGGATCATTGGGTTTACCGGTTTGTGCCGGGGAAAGTTATACTTTCTTTTTGGTTGTCCCCTGCTGTGGGGGAGTGGGGTCATCGTGTTACCTTCTTTGTTGCCCTAGTTTTAGTTGTGATTCGTAGTTCTACCTTTTTGGTGTGTGCCTGCTAGGGTCTAGTTGTGGATCATCGTATTCTCCCTTTTTGGTGTTCCCTGCTATGGTACTAGTTGGGTCATCGATTTTACTTCTTGGTGGTCCTGCTAGTGGATAGTTGTGGATATCGTATTCTCTTCTTGGTGTGTGCCTGCTATGGCTAGTTGTGGACTGTAGTTCTCCCTTCTTGGTGTGTGCCGAAGGGGACTATTTTGGATCATGTTTTCCCTTCTTGGTGTGTGCCTGTAGTGGATAGTTTGGCATCGTAGTTTCCTTCTTGGGTGTGCCGTAGGGGGTTTAGTTGTGGATCTCGTAGTTTACCTTTTTGGGTGGTCCTGTGTGGTACTAGTTGGGGATCTCGTAGTTTACCTTTTTGGTGTGTCCCTGCGTGGATGTTGGGATCATCTTTTTCCCTTCTTGGTGGTGCCTGCTAGGGGCTATTTGTGAAACGTATTTTCTACCTTCTTGGTGTGTCCCTGCTAGTGGTATGTTGTGGATCATCGTATTTCTCCCTCTTGGGTGTCCCTTTGTGGTACTATTTGGGATAATCTAGTTTACCTTCTTGGTGGTGCTGCGGGTATAGTTGTGGATATCGTAGTTCTACCTTCTTGGTGTTGTGTTGGTATAGTTGTGGATTGTAGTTCTACCTTTTTGGGGGTGTTCCCTGCTGGGGTACTATTTTTGGATCTTAGTTTCCCTTCTTGGTGTGTGCCTGTATGGTACTAGTTGTGGATCATGTAGTTCTCCTTTTGGTGTGTGCCTGTAGTGGTATAGTTTTGGTCATGTATTTTTCCCTTTCTTGGTGTGTGCCTGCAGGGTTTGTTGTGGATCCGAGTTTCCCTTTCTTGGTGTGTGCCTCTAGTGGTATTTTTGTGGATATGTGTTCTACCTCCTTGGTTTGTGCCTGCTAGTGGTACTAGTTGTGGATCATCGATTCTACTCTTGGTGTGTGCCTGTGTGGTATAGTTGGGGTCTCGTATTCTACCCTTGGTGTGTGCCTGTAGTTTATTAAAATTTTTTTTTATTTTCTATTAAAAAATCGACTTTCTTTCGCTATAATGATAATTCCCCCCCCACAATTACATTATCCCCCCCAAACAACCTCCCCATCATTATCTTTATTTTCCGTGGGCGCAAAAGGGAAGTGGAAAGAGATGGGGCCGAGGGGATCAGTGATCAGGAGATCGGGTTTCCCTGAAAAGTTTAGGGAAAACTAAAACGCCGGTTTTGCGTGATGTTTTTACATCTTCTGGCCTCTTTTCCTCTTTCTTTTTCCTTTCTCCTTTTCTTTTCCCCTTTCTTTTTTCTCTTTCTCCTCCTTTTTCCTCTTTCTTTTTCTCGTTTCTCCTTTTTTTCTTCATTTAAAATTTTATACGTTTCACCGGTGGGTCATTTAAAAAAATAAAAGGGCAAATTTTCAACATATAATTGATATTTAAATTTGTTTTAATTTAAAACAAAACATTTAACACAAATTACAAATTCATTTTTAAGCAAGGAAAAAAGGAAGTTGAAAGAGTAAGCGTAGAATGTTCAGAGAATGTTACGAAAGTTACGAGAAACAAAAGTCAAGAAGTTTAAGGGGAATGTTCTTTAATTTCTGTTTTTTAATTTCTTTTTTCTTTTTCTTTTTTTTTTCATTTTTTTCGTTTTTCTTTTTTTCTTTTTTTCTTTTTTTCTTTTTTCATGTAATTTCATATAATTTAAGGTAAGAGTAGAATGTTTCAGGAAGACAAAAAAACGAAATTTACATATAAGTTAAAAAATGTTTACATTTTTTAAATGACAAAATTTACGTATAATTTACGGAATGTCAGTAGAAGAAGGTAATTTACGTTGAATTTTAAGTAAATTTTTACAGTTTAAGCATTTGTAATTTTTACAGTGGAATTTTCAGTGAAAATTTTACGTTAAATGTTACATTTAAAAATGTTACAGTGGAAATGTTACAGGGGGGAAATGTTACAGTATAATGTTAAAGTGTTTGTTACTAGTTTTTAAAGTAGTAAGTTACAGTGGTAATGTTCAGTAAAATGTTACAGTAGTAATGTTACAGTAGAAATGTTACAGTGGTAATTTTACTTTAGTAATGTTCAGTTAATGTTACGAGTAATGTTACAGTGTAATTTTTACAGTGTTGAATTTTAATTTTACAAATTTTAAAGTAATGTTCGGGGGGGTAAGTTACAGTGTAAATTTTACGTGAAAAGTTACAGTAGTAATGTTACAGTGGTATTGTTCATAGTTGTTACAGGGGTAAATGTTACAGAGAAATGTTACGGGGGGGGAATGTTACGTAGTAATGTTCAGTGGTAATGTTACAGTAGTTTGTTACAGTGGTTTAATTTTACATGTAATGTTACAGTGTAATGTTACAGTGTAATGTTACAGTAGTAATGTTACAGTGTAATGTTACGGGGTTTAAGTAATGTTACGTGTAATGTTCATTTAAAATGTTAAGTAGAAAGGGTTACGTGGTATTTTTAAAGTAGTAATGTTTTACAGTAGTAATGTTACGTGGTAATGTTACATAGAAATTTTTACAGTGGGATTAATGTTACAGTGAAATGTTACAGGTAATGTTACTAGTAATGTTACAGTGTAATTTTACGTGTAATGTACAAATTTTAAAGGTAATGTTACAGGAATGTTACAGAGTAATGTTACATTAAATTTTAAGTGTTTTACAGTTAATGTTACAGTAGTAAAATGTTTTCATAGTAATGTTACAGTTTTAATGTTACAGTAGTAATGTTACATTTGGTAATTTTAAAATTATAATGTTACATTTAAAAAAGTTACATGTAATGTTACGTAGTAATGTTACAGTATAATTTTACGTGTAATGTTACAGTGGTAATGTTACAGTAGAAAATTTTTAAACATGAATGTTACAGAGAAATTTAAGGGGTTAATGTTTTTACATGTAATTTTTTCAGTAGTAAGTTAAAAGTGTAATGTTACATAGAAATGTTACAGTGTAATTTTAAGTTTAATGTTAAAATAGTAATGTTC